AAATATTATTAATTAACCCTCGTTTGATATATAACATTAACATGATATTTGTTTTAGTGGTCACCATCACTAGTTGCGGCAAGCGCCACCAAAGGTAGCCACTGTCGGCCACCTCTACCACCTCCACAACCACCATCGACCACTTATCACCATCGTCTATCACTACCTCCACAACCACCATAGGCTACCGACCACCACCGTCTATTGTCAATACCACCGTTGGCCACCTTCACCTTCTATTCTACTACAACAACCTCTTTCACCAGCTTCACAACCGTCATTGGCCACCGACCAACACCGTTTATTGCCACCACCATGGGCCACCTCACCTCCACCATAATCACCACCACCATCGACTATTGCTACCACTACCATTATCGACTATATTCATTTTCTCCACAACCACCACCACTAGCATGATTGTCCACCACCACCTCCACCATAACCATCATCACTGCCCACCATCACACCTACTTCCACCACATAGGCCACAACTTCTTCCTCCACCACTATCGACTGCCACCACCACCACCATCATCACTATCCACCATCTTCACGTCATCTCCAACCACCATCGTCCACCAATTACCAATGCCAATACCCCCATCACCATTGTTGTTGCAATGATCTTCACTTTGCCTTCACCAGTTGATAATAATCTTCTAAATCGAATAAAATACAATTTATCCTTTGTATGAATCAGGTTTTTTCAAACTACCATCAATTATTTAAAAATTTTCATTCAACTGTTTTATATTTATGTATATGAAAATTGGGTAAAAATTTTTATAAATTAAATTATCTACTTTATTTGTGTTAATTATAACTATTATATGATTTATAAAATTATAAAATAACTTTTGGGGGCAACTTGTATAGTTCTGTCATGTTTAGTTCTAGTCGTACAAAATACCAGACATACTCTTGTTCTGTCTAGTCCTGTTCTGTCCTATTCAATCCTACCTTCTTGTCCTGTCTAATTCTGTTATGTCATGTCATGTCTGTGTACCAAATGTTACCTTACCCACCCATGAATTGCACTTCTCATAGGAATTGATTTGGTGCATCTCATCTCGGTGATTCTCATCCTAATGTGCACCCAAGGGTGAATATCTCTTCTTATGTTTTTCATATTAACTCTCATTTTCACTGAAACCCAAAAGATAAAAGGGTATTTTTGTAATTTCTACAAATAGGTTGCAAAATAAATGCATATGTGAACTTATGTGATTCACATATGAACTATATGTTCATAGATGAACTCGTGTAATTCATATATGAACTATTTAACAGATTCATATATGAACCAATTAACTGGTGCACATATGACCCCGTGTGATTCACATATGAACCAATTAACTGGTGCACATATGACCCCGTGTGATTCACATATGAACTAATTAACTGATTTACATATAAACTCGTGTAATTCACATATAAACTAATTCACATATTAACTAAGGGTTTTGGCCGTATATGAACAACTGACTTTCACAAAGTTGGTAAGCACGTCTGTAGAAAATAAGGTAACTTTGTACGTGTATTTTTTCTGTGTGAGGTATGAAGTTGTTTTTTTTTTTTTTTTTTTTTTTTTTTTTTTTTTTGCATGAGGATAAGACAAAAACTAATATAATAGAGCAAGATTTATTTGATCGCCGACATTGATTCATCTCTAAAGTTTCTTTAGTGTTCGATGAGTCGTGGTCGGATTTAACGCTTCAATTTAGACACTCTTGTTATCACTAAATCCACTTTAGATCACAAACTATTGTCTCTATCTTCAGCTACTTCTTCGACATCGCTGGACGTCTCTCTGGTGTGAGTTTTGTCTTTGAGGAATACTTGTTCTCTGAGAAGTTAACGATACATGTTCATAGATCACTAAACAAACTCAGAAATGATCGCTGAAACTGAATAGAAGTAAAACAAGCATATTTCACTAAGTATAGAAGGTCATCATCAAATAGTTTCATAACTTTTATAAATAAACCAATTTGATTCACATATGAACTATATGTTCATATGTGAAACTGTGTAATTCACATATAAACTATTTTAACTAATTTACATATGAATTAATTAATTGATTCTTATATTAAATATTTAACAAATTCACATATAAACCTGTATGATTCACATATTAACTAATTAACGGGTTCACATATGAACATATAGTTTGCATGTGAATCACACGGGTTCATATATGAACCCGTTTGCTGTCTATTTGTAAAAGTTATGAAACTATTTCTCTATCTTCCACATAGCCATGCGAAGAATTAGCTGGTGCTTCACAGTCAAAGCCGCAAATATTGACCAGATGAACTGAACCATTCTCTCTCTCTCTCTCTCTCTCTCTCTCTCTATATATATATATATATATATATATACACACACACACACAAAAACTCTGCAAATCAATTTCAACTATACATATAGAAAATCCACAGTTTGGATTAAATTGGTTCCTATATTTACTCCCAATTGCATATTTATGTGATTTGATAACCGTTTCTAAATTCAAAATCAAAGGTTAAGATCAGGTTTGTAGGATTTATAACAATCATGAGCGGACCTACTATATGGGGTATTGCTGCCCATGCAACCATAAAAATGAAGTATCTAAGTGTAACTTTTGTAAGGTATACAATTGTGAAACAATAACTTTTTTTTTTTGGGTGAAGCCATAAATTTTTTGGGATGAAATCGTAAAAATTAAAAGCTTTAGGGGGTTTAAATGAAAAAAGTAAGAAGTATATCGTCAACCAGTTACACTTTTGATCCTTGAAAAACTTTAGTGGTCTAATTTTACTTCGATTCCTTTTTCATTTATACCCTTATCATATTAGTTAGTTAATCATTAACCTTTAGGGTTGGTCCGATGGGAAGAAGAGTTAAGATGAGAAGCATAAGAAAATATACTCATCATTGAATATACAATAGGATGAGATGCACCAGATCAATCTTCGTATCAAATATGATTAGGATTTGTTTGAGATTAAAGGTAATCAATGGTCCATATCCGTTCTTACATTTCTCACCTTCAGGGCCGTTCCTGAGATTTTGGATGCTCATGGCGGAAAGCCAAAAAATTGCCCCTTATGTGTGTATATAAAAACCAAAATAAACTATTTGAAAGGATTTGGAACCTAGTCAATCTAGGCGGCTCATTCTCACGCTGATTTTTTTTAATATAACAAAAATGATGCGGGGGCGGGGGGATAAACCAAAACCCCGTGTAACAAAACATAAAGTACATTACCATTCACCTAAAACGATGACTTCTTGCATTTTTTGAAGCAAAAATATCTATCATTTTGTTATAACAAATATCAGCTAAAACAGTTCTTAAAAAGCTTAAGTCTTTATCCTATATTAAGCATCAATCTTAAGCCTATGTCCTATACTAACCCGCTTCAAAACAGCTCCTAAAAAGCATCTAAACAACCCTAAAAATTAAAAAATTTAGGACTTGAGCAAATTGAAAGGAATGGAAATTCCTTAAAATAATCCCAAACACTTTGAACAAGAATTTTTAGAGGATGTAAATAGTGAACAGGAATTTGGGCCAACCACCCAGCAAATGGCAGCAGAAGCTTTGACAAACAGCAATGTCTACAAATATGTCAGCCCAGAAAATATAAAATGGAAGGACAGAACACAGAAGTAAGTAACCACACTCATTTCATGGATTTTATTTAGAAATTGCAAAACAAAACAGCCCCAAAAACAGCCACAAGTCCCAACCAATAAAATAGCCCTAACCCCTAAGTTAAAGTGTTAAACATAAGATTAAGCATATGCAAAACATTAACAAATTGTTGTCATTTGTTTCTAAATTCTATTTTTGTGGTTTCACTAGTTTGTAACAACTAACAAATGAAACAAAATCAATGAGTCAAACAAAGTAAGTCACCAATTTCACAGAATCACAGCTTCTGAGCTAGTTTCATTATTAGGTTTTCCAATCAAACAAAATTTAAAACTTAAAAAATAAAATAAGTAATATAATAACCCTACGTTAAAGACTTAAATGTTGAATCCCTAACCTCAACACAAGTAAGTAGTCACAAAGAGAGAGGGCGAAGAGCGAGTGGCGATTGGCGAGGGGCGGAGGCCAGAGAGCGAGAACGGGAGCCGGGAGGCAGAGAGCGAGAGCGACCGGTGACGAGAGAGGCAAAGAGAGAGCGTCGAGCGAGAGCCAGCCGATTGCGATTTCGATTTCTATTGTGAGTGAGTGACAGAGCAATGCGGGAGTCGAGAGGGAGGATGACGGACTGGTAAGTGGTAACGGACTAAGAACGGTAATTTTTTAGGCCCAAATAAAAACTTAACCTATACATATACATTGAGCTTTAAGAATTTGCTGCCCTTGGGCTTTATGCTGCCTAGGCCGTCGCCCCTTGGGCCTATGGCCAGGGCCGGCCATGCTCACCTTAACTATTTTTCTCACACAATCCTTCACTTTAATCTCTAACAACAATCGCGTGGTTTGGATTTGAAACATCATACATATTGAGCGGACATGATCAAAAGAGAAGTGTATGATAAGCTTGATATCTTAGTAATATTTTAGTTATCTTTTCATTCTTGTCCTATTCTTATCCCATCTTGTTCCACCTATTTTGGTATAACAAGAAAAAAAAAACCTCTTTTGTCTCATGTTGTCTCACCTTGTCCTTGTCCTTGGCACATGTGACGCCAAATATAGGACAGTAAATTCTTGTTTTATCCCATGTTGTGCCAAACGTAGAACCGTAAGTTCTTGTTTTATCCCGTCGTGTCCAGTTCTGTCCCATTTACGAAATAAAACCTATATATGCGGTGTGTTTTCTGCAACTTGGATTTCTTCAGCCATCTAAGCCGCCAGGTGCATAGACCAGTCAAGATATGAGTGATAGTATTGGTAGAGAATTAAAAAATCAGATGACTTCCAATAATCGACGGCTAACTTTTCCTTTATATATGAGCAAATATCCTCCTGCCATCTTTCAATTACAGCAACTCCAGTTTCTATCTTACAGAACTAAAATTAAGGATGTCGATGCAACTTGATTCCAATTTGCACATCCTCGAGTTTATTCGAAACCATCTACTCTTTGATGATCTCTTGCAGACTTTTCCTGGCGATAATTACCAACATCCTTTTAGTTGTTCAAACTTTAACACCGATGAGCAGAGAGTTCTTGAAGGTTCACATGAATCATCCATAAGCATGGAAGAAAAGTCAAGCTTCTTTGCGGCAGTTTGTTCATCAAATTCATCGGATAGCTTGATTTGTCCAAATATTATGGATGATCAAGTTCAAGACTTGGTAAATCTGAATGATTTTAATATACCCAGCATTAATTTGGATGATCATGGTGTCGGAATTCATCCGGTCGCGAATTCATCTCATAGCCATCACAGCAACCCGCAAGTATTTCCAAACACCAATATAGAGTTGGCTGAAATTCCAACCATTTCCGAAGAAATCCAACCGGAGGTTTCTCCAGCCACTTTTACAAGCCTTCCCAGCATTAGTTATAGCACGGAGAGAGCTGTAAACAAGCCATTAAACTGGGATTTCTCAACGGGTCACGTGGTCGCGATCGGAGACGGAGTGGTTTCTGGTGACAAGGACAACCGAGCTCCACCAACTGTAAAGGAGGTTTTATCAGATGGGGTTGACAACCAAGCTCAAAGGCTACCATCGCTGCCAGGCATGAGGTACAGAGGGGTAAGACAACGTCCATGGGGAAAATTCACGGCTGAGATGCGAAATCCAGAAAAGAAAGGTTCGAGGTTGTGGCTAGGGACCTACGAGACCCCAGAAGAAGCAGCCATGGCGTATGATCGAGCCGCCTTTAAGCACCGTGGATCTCAAGCTTTGCTTAACTTCCCACATTTGATCGGCAAACACAAAGAAATCCCCAAAAAGTTGGTCACGAGAAAGAGATCTTCCACAACATTGGAGCCATCATCTTCTTCGTCATCTTCAGAGTCATCAAGAAACAAGAGTAGTAAGAGGAGGATAACTTGTGGTATCTAGTGTTACTAAAGCAACTGCTTTTGTCCAAAACTTGTTCATAATAACACATCATGAATTCTCGTTTACCAAAACTCTCTGAAAAATTAATGGATTACTAAAAATTTTGTTCTTTGATGCAATTTGTATACGAGATAATTTTATTAGATAATTTTAAAATATATATTCTTAAAGGTTATAACAGTAGAAATCACATTTTTCATTCCCTTTCTCACCCATAACCTCTACTTCAATAACATGATATTTATTAGGGGTATTCAAAAAACCCGTTAAACCGTTCAAACCTGTCGAACCAAATCAAACCGGATCGTTTTTGGCGGTTTGGTTTGGTTTGGAAAATAGGAAAACCGGACGAGCTGGTCCGGTCTACGGTCTGGAAACTTTTTTGGGCGGTTAATTTGGACCAAACCGACCGCCAAATATTATTTATTTTAGTTTAGCAAGACCAACTTTAACGTATGACATATGGCCCAAATATATCCCTAACCCTAATATAAAACCTAACATCTAACGTAATCAAAATGGATATTTAATTTAAACTATAAATTATATATGTTTTTTTTAAGTTTAATATTTAAAGTCCATTAAAGACCTAAACCGTCAAAACCGGTCAAACCAGACCGCCTTTTCGTGGTCTGGTTTGACCGGTCTGGACACTTGATGTCAAACTGCTCGGTTTGAAAATTTTATAAACCGCCATTACGAGTTGGTTTGTCGTCTGAGGGCTAAAACCGCCCAAACTAAACCGCAAACACCCCTAATATTTTCTTTCTGTTCTTTTCCTCAATAGAACACAAGTAAAAAAAATCTGAACCAAGCTGTAGTCCTACAGTTCATTCTTCTTATTCTAATAAGTTCTGTATTTCTTATTTTTGCCACACTTTGAACAAAACATGACAAATTACTGTACTTACAATCTACCAATACACATCATGACTAAAAAAAATCAGATGTTAGATTCATATCAATCATATATCTTCTTTACAGATACATGATCCGCCATCAATCTTGACTTGGAATATTACATCAAAAAATTAAAGTTTTCTACATGAATGGTCATGATACTTTAATGTACTTGAAGTCTTTGTAAAAATGTATTGTTGAGTACTGTTGACAAATCAAATTTAACTTTTTTGAACACTATATGAAACTTTTTTGAAAACTTAGAGGGGTGTTTGGTAAGCTTAAGAAGTATTAAACAGTAATTAATAGAAATGAAAATAAAAGAATCAGTTTGGTTTTTTATAATATAATGGGTTCATTCTTATTCCTTCAGAAACCCAAATTTTTATTGCAGGTTAAACTGAGGGGAATGAAAATTCATTACCATTTTCATTCCTTTGTCTGAACCAAACGCCTCCTAAATGTATATCAATCTCAATATGTTTTCTTCTTTCATGTAAAGTTGATTAGCAATTAACAATCTTAATATTGCAGACTTATTATCACATAAGAACTCAACATGATTTAACTTCTCAATCACTAAATCTCTTAAGACATTTAGCACCAAGAAAAATTCACAAATAACATCATAGCACGATATTTTGTACTTGCGGAATGAAGAAGATTGTGATTCGTGGTACCGTTGATCGTTTCTTACGATATTTTGTTCATTTACCGTTCATGTACGCTTGTTTATCTTCGTTTATATATTAAATTTAATGTATAATCTTTTGTTTATTTACTTTGAATTCAAATAATATTTATTTATGTTCGTTTAGCCCGTTCGTTTATGTTCGTTCGTTTAGCATGTTAACGAACGAACATACACGAACACGCTTGATATCTAAACGAACGAACACGAACAAAAAGATTTTCGTTCGTTTACTGTTCGTGTTCGTTTGTTTGTTCGGTTAAATTAAACCAACGAACATGAACAAGCCTCCATTTGTGTTCGTTCAGTTCGTTTACGACGCTAATTAAAATACAATTCACATAGTTGTTTTAGTTATTAAATAATGTAATTTAAAGAAGGGTGAAAGAAATCAAAGGTCAAGAGAGAGAATACGGCACTCTCTCTCTCCCTTTGATATTCCGAACCCTAATTAGACTAACAGATTAGAAGCGTCTAAAATTCAACGACCATCTTTCCCATTCAATAAACAATGGTCTTCTAGTTACTCTCTCCCCTTTTGTCTCTTTTATAGTTCAGTCAATTAAAAAACTGTTCAATGACCATTTTTCCCTTTCATTGAACTTGGATTATGTTGTCATGATAGTGATTTCAACTTTGATGTTGATTTAGACACAAAAAAATCAAACTTTTTGAAGGGAAAAATACGATTTTTAAGAAACTCAAAATGCAGAAGTTGCAGCTCTTTTAGTTAGCCTCATAGGTGATGATACTGTGAATGTTATATATGATCATAATACCACATGATGGTAATGTTTTCCAGCAGTTTCCTTTTGTGTTTCTTTGTCTTGTTTTGACCCTCGAATGCGATCGGCTATGGTCGCTTCTTCTGTTTAACACTTGTTGTTTTTCCTTGTTAATGATATGTCAAAGCATGAGTTAGTATTTCACGTTCTTGTCCCATGCTTCCAGCACTCCTGATCATGTCCAAAGTCTCACTAAATATGCATTAGCTTCAATTCCCCTTGATGATTCATTTAAGTTTCCGTGTTTATTTCTCCGTCGTCTACACGCCATAAAAATACACTAACGATATCAACTCCATCAATCAGTGTTGTATTTTTGTGAGACAATTGTACAACGATTAGGGTGCTTCTCCTGTAAGTGGTTCAGGGCTCTTTGATTTTTTGTCTGTTGTGTGAAGCAAGGATGCTTTTCTTACTCAATTTTTGCTTCTGTGGATGTTCTTTATGCTTTGCTCAATCCGCTCTTCTTTATGACTTTCTTCCTTAATTTTTGCTTCAATGGATATTCTCATTGATTCTTATGTGTTTGTACATCGATTTTTACGTGCTTGTAAATGGATTTCTACTTGATTTATTTGTTTCTTATAGAATGTTATGTCTTTGTTTTTAGGAATGGAACAAATGAGTGAATCACAACAACAAAGTCGAATTAGGATTAGAAGGTTCATAATGTTACGAAAACTTTCGTAGAAAGTTAACACTCTAGAGGTTAGATTGAACGGAAAAGAGGGTGGGAGTTTGAAGGCAATTTCATGGAACAAAGTTAGCGAAACTCTAAAAGACACTCATAACTTTGTTGCCGATAGGAAGCAAATGTGCAATTATTTTGATTATTTGAAAGGAAAGTACGGTGCTTGGTTGAAGTTAGAAAAAAAAAACCGATAGTGTCTACGATTCTTCCACAAACACTTTTAACTTAGACCCTCGATGAATGGGGGGTCGGAGATGAAGGTCATTTTCTAACTTTCGCTTTTGTTTTTTATTTCGATCTTGTTTATTTTATTTGTATATTTATAAGTTTCTTTTTAACACATATCCATAGGTATGTTAGATCTTTGAGAAGCACGATTCTTCCATACACGAACTTGTGTGTGCGACTATTCGATGGTGGTCTGTGCACGGTAATTGGAGCCGATGGACCATCATCAAAAGACCCTTCACCAACCACCAAGCCTTTTGTGGTCATTCACGAAGATACCAATATACATGGCTAGTTTACGTGATGGAATTGCAAAGAAATTGGTTCCCAATGTAATTTTAAGAATAATGTTTGAATATATGGACATTCAAGTATTTTAAGAATTATGTTTGAACTTGAATTTGATATCAATGAATTTATGATATTATGTCTTGATGTTCAAATAGTTTCTATGTTTTAGAAATATCATTCACCTTGAAAAATAAACAACAATTTTTCAAAGATGGCTTAATTTATGTTGAGGGGTAGATTGGTTATAACCCACTGTTTGGTAGTGTTATTTCTGTTATTCAGAATATTGATTCAGAAAAAAAGTAAACAATACGTTTTTATCCAAACAGACAAATTATCTATACAGAATTTAAAAGAAAGTCCGCTAAACAACCCTTAAAGTTGAAAACAAACATCCCAGTTGGTTAGATTTGTACATAAACCAAGAGACCCCTATTTTGTCTTCAATTTTCTAAACCTAACCATGAAATCTTTGAAATCAAACTTAAGTGATACATTTTATTTTGGTTTGGTTTTTGATCACTATCAAGGGTTTGCGTAAGTATTCAAATGAAATTTATTTCTTTTCAATAGATAAACGTTTGTAATACAAGATAATGAATATATATATATATATATATATATATATATATATA